CGTCAGCCAGATGTGAGTGAGAGCCGCGGGCTTGCTGCTGGGTAGGCCGCGCGGGGGCCTCGGCTCGTTCCACCCCCGGGGCCTCGTCCCGCCCGTGTCCGCTCCTCCCCGAGCCTTTCCGGCCCTGCTGACTCGCCCTGGCTGGGCTGGGTTCGTGCCCGCTCCCCGCTGCCTCCTCTCCTGAGGGGAGCCCTCTCCTGAGGGGGCCTCGTTACCAGGATTTCCTCGGACCCTGTGTGGGGGTAACCGGGACTGTTCTTAGACTTAATTTTTCCGATTCTCCTTCTCTTTCACTTTCCTTTTCTCCGGCAATACCGGCTTCCTACCCTGCTTGACACCATCTGTTTTAGGGATTTAATTTTGTCAGTACCCATGATGTTGTGAAATTTGGCATATTCAGCCCTATGAAAATCACTGTTATGGGCTTGCATCTGACTTTTGGGGGCAAATACAAAATAAAAAACTGGTGATTTAATTTGAAGTTTAACTTGTTGCCTTTTCAGTTTTCCTTTGTGAAACAATTGCTTTCCTTGAATTATGTTGGTGCTCTGCAGGCTTTTTCTATTTTTTGGAAGGCTCTTCTACCCTGTGCAAGGTGGTGAGCCCAGCAGTGAAAGCACTGTTCATTGTTTCTGAAGTAATGTTGGAGTGCTAATTCATGTGTACTTGGAAAACTTGATATTCCCTTGTTGATTTTAACAATCAATATCTAAAATGGGACTGGTTTTTTTGTGTCATATAAGTAGTTTGAGTGGGTTTGCTACAATTAGGGTGCTGTCCCAGAATGAAACTGTTGCAGTATTCATTGAAGAAGTGTTGATGGTGTTTATCTGTCAGAGCCCTAAAGACTTTCTCGGTGCTCACAACTGATGCTTCACTTTCTAAACTTTTGGTAAAGTCATTAACCTTGTTAGATTAATCCCTTCTGTTCTTCTACTGCTTGGTCAAAACAAGCAAACAAAAGTGTCCTTGAGTGCTGTGTAGCTGTGAGGAAATAAACGTGAGTAAGCATGTGCAAAATTAACACGATAAAACTTCGAGTTTGTATTTGCCCTGCAAACTGTAATGTTTTTCTCTGAGCAGAAAACAATGCTCATAAATGTTTCAATGGAAGTGTACAGCAATGGATTAAAAAATTGCTATTACTGGCCAAAAAAAATCTTTAAGGTTAATGCCAAATGAAGGGATGACAGTAATCCTAAACTTGTAATAAATGCCCTCTGTCTTCTTTTACACAGGTGCACAGATGTCACTGTCCATGTGCTTTTTATTAGAGATGCAGTGACAGGGTTTTTTTGTCACTTCCTTGTGCTCCATGCAGTGTTGGAGTATGGATCACATATTTGTGTTCACAGGCTTGTTTAAAAAGCAAGCAAAACTATGTCTGGGATGGGTTGTTGCAGTGACTGCAGCAGATTTTTTTAAGCACTTTCTATGTGTTAGATATCCAAAAGCAACCTGGCCTGGTTTCATGTGACACTTAGAATAAGATGAAGCTAGCCAGAAGTAGAGTTTGTTGAATGAGAAAGAAATGCAATTTTCTATGCAACAAGTTCCTATTTCTTTCCAGAAGGTCCTGGCTTTGTCATTAGAGGCTGACATAGTAGGTGGAAGATGGAGATAATTAAATATTTGATGAATAATCTGAAAGTTTTTATAATTTTTGGGAAGGTTGTTCCAAGCAGTTAGGGAAATACAATCTTAAATGTATGTATATCTTCCAGTTCATCCTGCAACCAAGAAGTGATACTTGTCAAGATAAATGTTTATACTTGGTCCTGACCATAAGAAGCATGAAACCATTCACATAACTCATTTTGAGTGCCTCTTTATAGCTGCTGGATATAGATGTCTCAATATGTTGCAGTTCCATACTTGGGTTTTCATTACAAGCCTGAATTGAAGTTTTCTGGGCTTTGGCTTTGTTTTTCAGAAGTGATGTTATGTGTCACATTTCAGTGTGGGCAGTGCCTATCTTGAGGAATGTGTCAGTGGTCCATGTGCATCATTTGGTTGTGGATACTTGAGAGAATAGTGCTTTTGATGTCCTGAGAAGCCTCTTCCAGTACCAGGTTCTGTGTGACTGCAGGCCTAAGCAGAACTTCCATGCAGTTGCAAGACTGAGGAATCCTGAGCTCCGATGGCTGAGGCTGAGAAGCAGCTTTGGCTTCTCCCGGGGTGATCCAGGAGTCAGCAGTGATGTAGGAATGTGGAATATGCTTTTGTTTGCAGGGCACCACTTTTTTCTGGCCCTGACAGCCAGTACACACTGATGCCTTGGGAGTCTCCTTTCTAAAGGCCTTTCCTTAATATGTTTTTAGGTGTTGGAATTGCCTGAAAGACAGATCTGATCTGGGCTGTAAACTCAGTCTGTGGCTGTGTCCAGATCCTGCCCTGAGCTGCTTCGTGGCTGTGTTAGAAGGGAATTGTGCTGAGTGTGGGAATGGGATGTAATTCAAGTTGTGTATTGGCCCTGAACCTCCTCTGCTTGGTGTTTCACTGTAGCAATTGATTCTCAGAATCACAGCGTGGACTGGGTAGGGAGCAGTTTTGAAGGAGAACATGTTCTGCAAGATTTTTCTGTTAGACCAGCCTGAGTGAGAGGTTGCACATATTTGGGCTGGAAACAAGCTTCTTGAGAGGGGAGGGGGAATTCCTGAAGCTGGTGTTGGTGTCGAACGCTTTGTCTTGTGAAACCACAACTCTGAGTGTTCTGCATGAAGTCAGGAAGGCAGATTTTTTGTGCACATCTGCATATTTACTAAAGATACACGTACAAAGTGCCTACAAGGCAGAGGAAGGTTGAATTGGTTGGTCCCATCTAGTTCCCAAAGTTTTGTAGAGTTGGGTGGTCTGCCAGGAGTGTGCTCTGTGCTGAAGCTGACTTTTTTAGCTGACTTCCATAATCTTTTAATGTAACTATTTTTATGTTGATTGCAGTTAGATATGTTAACAAGGAACAAGTTGTGTGTTTTTGTTTCTTCCTAGTCTAAACGTTTATTGGAATGCTAACAGATAGGACGTGGAGAGCTTGGAGTAGCATTTTCAGTAATGCAGATGTAGTCACAATAATGCATCTTTCATGGTCTATAATGTCAAGAGGAAATGATCAATATAAAAGCAGATAATTTCTTTGCGGTCGATTTTTTTCGCGTTCCTGATACCATATTGATCAATGTCTCTATCACATCCACTAAGTGCTACTTAGATGTTACTTTCTTTACTTGCCTTTGTGCAAACTTTGTCTTTTCTGTCTGCTCAGTTTCAGTGCTCTCAACATGAAAGGCATTGTCATTGTACTAGGACTGGAAAGTTAAGGAGGATTCAGAGTAGTGTGGATTCAGAGGCAACATTTCCAGTAGTAAAATGAAAAAAAAGGACTTATTAATAGAGAATTGGATATAGCTTTTTCATCCACAGCAGAGCTCCTTTATAAGCAGTTCACTTCAAGGCTTGTTTGCCCATGGAGGAGGAATAGTTACCCTGCATTATGTTCAGGTTCTGCTTCAGTTTAAGTAAGCTTCATATGTAAGCAGCGTTGTTTTGGTGGCTGCCAGACCCCACAAACAGGTTCCCATGAGAGCCTTCCAGCAGGTACAGTGTTCCACTGTGTTCTGTGTTAAAAACTGCAGCAGTTCAGTTGTGAGCTGCTGGTTTGCCAGGTAAGGGTGTGAGTTGTGGCAGCCTAAGCTCCTGCATTTTAAAGCTGTAGCATCTGCTCTTATCTTCTGAGACTGTCATTGAGTTAATTGACAAAGCTGAACCCGTTTTGTTTTGTGCAAGCACCGTTCCTGCTGCATGGCAGGTCACAGAAATTCAGGGGGAAAAGCCAGTAGTGCCTCTTCAGAGTGGCTGAAACTTCCAGGGGTCACTGCCCTGACATGTATTTAATGTAGGGTAGCTGCTGATGCAATGGCAGTCACCGAGAAATAACTTTCTGAGATGTTAATTACAAAGCAAAAGTATTTCCTGATCACTTGTTTGTGGAATTTAGACTGTAACTGCTAGGCTGCTTTAAAAAAGAACAGATTTTGCAGGGAAGTTTCTAAGAACAACAATACCTAGAGAATTGGGATAGGGCTTCACCTGGCTGAACTCCTTGTTTTAGGATGTCTTTCTCTCCATGTTCCATAGTTAAATTAGTTGCTGCTCTTTGATGTACTGAGAATGTCCCTTCTTTTCCACTCATGTCCCCTCCCACCCTGCCCATGGCTGCACCTCTGCCCTTCCCTGACCCTCATCAATGCTCCCACTCATTGTCCTCACTCACTGCTTAAGCCTCTGTGCCTTTGGGCAACCTTTGTTTTTTGTTTTATTATTCCACCTTATGTTTAGGGAATTCTTTTGGAAAATCTCGATGCTAGGAAGCTCAATCTCATTGTTTGCCAACCATGGATTACATTAATCCTGTCATTCAGTTTTCCTCAAATAAACAAGGCCTGTTGTTCATTATTACTGGTATTTTGTCAAAATAATACATCAGGCAGTAAAATAATGACTTGTTTAGCAGTTGGTCTTGAATTTCTGTGAAGAATGTGTTGCCTTTTAGAAATTAGTTGACTTTTTTCTCCATTATTTGAAAAACATTAAAGGGTGGCAGTTTTAAGTAGTATGTGGTGCTGGTTGATTTGGGTTTTTTTTGTGGTGGGTATTTGGATTTTTTGTTTAACCTATAAATGAGAGAGGGGTAAAAAGCTGTTTCACAGACCTTTCTAACTCCAGAAAGTATTTTGCAATGCCCTCGATTAATACCCAGCCTTGTTTTTTCCTCTTCTTTTTTTCAGTGATGAAGCTATGAGGAAAGCTGGTGTTGCCCATAATAAATCTAGCAAAGATATGGAGAGCCACGTGTTTATGAAGGCCAAAACAAGGGTAAATCTTTATGTGCTTCCAGAAGTTATTTGGTGTCAAAAGAAGTTTGGAACAAATTGCAGAAATAGCAAAGCTAGTGCACTTAAGAGTACAGAGTTTGAAATCTTGATTTCTATGTGCTGCTTCTTTTACCTTGAGGGGAAGCAAGGAGTTCTGCATCCAACAGATGCATCAAACTGGACTTAGTGCAAGAGAGCTTTGCTGATGCTGCAGTGTTTCATGCACCTATGGAACCACACTTTCCTTACCTGACTATTTGTGTGCAGTGAATTGCATGTAATTTCCTTTATCTACAATGTAGCACCATTCCAGTTTGATGGTCAGAAAAATTTAGAATATCAATGAAAAGGCTCTGTCAAGAATAACCCCAAGGGAAGAGCCATGGTCTCTGTGAAAGTCTGGCTATAATGGACAATTCTGCACTCTTACCAAATCATCAACTTCTCTGGAGCTGTGGTGTGAGATACTGGATACTGTTGTTTTCTCCAAGGGAGAACTTGTCTTGGTGAAACTGTTACAATGCTGATGTCACAGATCTGTGCCCACTGTTGGCATCCTCCCTGCTGAGTTGTTTAATGGGCAGGAAGGCTGTCCTAAAAAAAAAAACAAACCAGGAAAAACTTCCTACAAATTATTTAGCACACTAAAAAAATGTTTTGAAGAATATTTGTCTTCCATTTCTGACACTTCTGTCATGTTACTTTTCTGAGTTATAAATTTACTCGTATTTTCTGACATGAATTTAGCTTTCAAAAGAGTTACTGTGGTACAAATGTGACATCATTCAAGGACTTAAATAATTCAGTGTGCCAAGGAAGCAGGTTCTGTCCTTATAAATAAGGAATTATAGTAGATAAGAAGTGGAAAATGTACATTGGTTTATAATGTTTGCTTATTGTGGTCCTGTTAGTGTGGCTGTCAGGGAGGTTCTTTCCTGTGAATTTTGTGGTTTCTTTGTGTTCTTGTACCGTCAGCCACAATGACGTATTAGTGAAAATATTCCTAGTTAATAAACAGACTGTTTCTTGGAAGTAAACTGCTCTGAAAAGCCCACACACATTGTAAAGTAAAATCCAGTATATTGAGGAAGAATGCTGAAGAACCAGAAAGTAATATTGTTCTGTTTTCATTTCTTATGCTAAAATAGTCATTTTTCACCCCTAGGAGGAATATCTTTCTCTTGTGGCCAGACTTATTATACATTTCCGAGATATTCGTAAGTAATTTTTTAGTTTTGGTTTTCTTTTCTTCTCAATCATGGTTACTCATTGAATCCTCATTTAAAAAAAAAAATAAATTAAATTTTAGGACTTCTGTGTGTGATTCTGCATGAGATTCTTAACAAGTTGCTTTAAAAATCTTCCTGTAGTATCCATGCCTAATTTATAAATACTATATCTTTTACACATCCTCTATAATTGAAAATTATTTGAGAAACTATTTAAACCTGCTACTTTTCCTCCTCCCTAATTTTTCCTGTATCTTTGCCTTCTGTCCATTTTTTATATAGCATTCTGATTAGCAAATTGGCTTAGGTTATGTATTTTTTAGAGCTACAGTAGATAGTGTTTTTTTAAATTTTTTAAATGATGATATGAATATATATTTCTTGTAGAGAGTATATCTGAAGAGTCAATGTGACAATATTGGCAGAGGTGATTAATTGTTTTTTCCTTTGCAGACAATAAGAAATCTCAAGCCTCAGTCAGTGGTAAGAGTTCCTATTCTGTTGTTTTCTTCCTTTCCCCCATACTCTCCATTTCTAAGTAGAACAGCTCAGAAATCAGGGCTGTGATGTACCTGTGAAAAAGCATCTGTGTATTTCCTAGCTGAGATATTTAATGCTGCTGGAGTAAAGGAAGGGGAGCAGGACATTCTTGGAGCTGTTCAGTGATCAGGGTGATCGGCCAGTGCTTTGGATGTAACACAGCAAACTTGTTTGTTTGCTTTTGTACTTTTGTTAGCTCACAGCACTGAGGTTCACAAAGCAGAGAGTGATTGAAAATAATCTGAGCAGCCCAGGTTCCTGCCTGTTGCCAGCTGTGGCTTCCTCAGCTGTTGCACCAGAGGCAGAGGTATTTGTGGGGCCATTTGGTGACCTTTGATCTGATCCTCTGTGCTAATTCTCACTACAGTGGATGTTAGGGTCATAGTATGGTCCTGTGGTTTTATCCCCCTAGGGAAAATATGCAGTCTGTGATTAATTGACATGCAGTCTAGACTGCTGGAAATTATTTTATACGTATTCTTAAGAAAGAGGTGGTGTGTGTTCTGTACCTGGTTAATGTTGCTTCTGCACCCCATGTTGTGTTTTGACCTCTTGAATTCTTTCTGTCTTTAACTTCACTTTCCTGTGTGCCTAGGATTCAGATTATGAAAACTGTCTTGAAAGGCATTGTATTTATTCAATGTATAATAACAGTGATGTTAGAGAGGGAACTGTATAGCAAAGTACATCCTCTGGCCTGAGCATTGCTTCTGTCTCAAGGAAGAAGATCCACAGTGGGACTCTCTTGGTTTTTGAGGTTAAAAGCTTTATATATATATAAATATTTATATATATCCTAATTATATATATATAATTATTTATATATATCCTCATGCAGTTTCTTTGGCAGCTTGTTTTGACTTGTATATGAATTCGGAGATGGTTAATAAGTTCCTTTTTTTGATGTATTTAAAATCTGTGTAGAACTTCACAACACTGGAGCACTTTAAATCCTCTCTACTCTCTTTACAGAGAGGCAGAGATGTGCTGGGAGCCTTGTCTCACAGGCAGGGCAGTGAACCCGAGTTTGTCAGGGTGTTGGATCTAGTCATGGCTGAAGTTGCCAGATCAGACAGTGGCTGATGGAGAGCAGAGCATTCTAGAAAAGCAATTGCATGGCTTGGTGCATATCAGTGTCTGTTTTCTCTGCAGATCCAATGAATGCCCTGCAGAATCTAACTGGGGGTCCCACGGCAGGGGCGCCTGGGATGGGCATGGCTTCCCGAGCTCAGGGAGCACCAATGAGTGGGATGACAGGCCTTGGTCCAATGGCACAGCAGATGAGTCTCCCAGGGCAGCAGCAGCCCCCTGGAACCTCAGGAATGGCCCCTCATGGCATGCCTGGTGTCTCTACAGCTACTCAGCAGAGTAAGTGCTCAGTTTGCTTCAGCCACTGAAGTTCTTAGATCAGCTTAGATCAGTAATAAGTCCTTTCCCCAAGGAAAAGGTGCTGAAGAGATGTCATACTGGCTAAACCAGCCAAGTCACCTGGGGAAAGAGTTGATTTCAAGCCCTGCTACCTATTTGGATAAATGTCTTCCTTAGTGTAGCCAACAGCAGTGCAGCTGTCATATGAGAAATTCTTCTTTCATCATGTCAGCTTCAGAACACGGTTTTTGTAGACCTCACCTATGTTTTCCATGGTGCCATGATTCCTGCTGGTGACCTTGGTGCATATTTCTTCCTGCACATTGTTACTCTCTTTACTTAGGTTGCTGACTCCATGGAGGCAGAGTGAATTACAAGTTAGTAGTACAAAATGTAATTAATTATGTTGTTAATGTGCCCCATCCATTTGAGGAAGCAAAAGTATATACTGCTAAGGAAGGACATGAATTAATATCACATTATTTGGGTACTGTTTTAATTACAGTCTTTCTTCTCTTTAGCCCAGCTTCAGCTTCAGCAGATAGCTCAGCAGCAGCAGCAGCAGCAGCAGCAATTCCAGCAGCAGCAGGTGGCCCTGCAGCAGCAGCAGCAGTTCCAGGCGCAGCAGTCAGCCATGCAGCAGCAGTTCCAGGTGCAGCAGCAGCAGGCGGCGGCCGCTGCCGTGGCCCAGCAGCAGCAGCAGCAACAGCAACAGTTGCAGGCTGTCCAGCAGCAGCAGCAGCACATGCTGAAACTGCAGATGCAGCAGCAGCAAAACCAACAGCAGGTGATGACAAACAGCTACGATGGCAAACGTGGTGATCGGTGTGCTGGTTTGAAAGGAAGCCAGTGGGAGATCCCAAGAGCTACAGTTTAATAGGAAAATTAAAATAAAATGCAGTAGTACAAAACCACTGACAGAGTCAGCATACAACCTGACACCCTCTTGGTCAGGGTGTTGGTAGCAGTCTGATTAAATGGTGTCTGCAGTCCTCCTGGAGTGACAGATGTTGTTCTGTTGGAGCAGTGATCCTGTAGAAGGGTGAAGTTTTCCTCTGAAGGTCCTGTGGTGGTGATAGGTCTGTTCTTCATCTGGGAATCTAATGAAAAAAGGCTGACTGTGGTGTTCCAAATCTCAGATTATATCCAGGTAGGAATGCTGGGTGGAGCACCTCACAATGGGATGATGGAATTTTATCAACCATGCAGTGAGACTCAATGGCCCATTAACAGAAGATATCCCCCTGGAGGGAGGATGGGTTGTGGAAGAGATAAAGGACACTGCCCCACTTGGTTTTAACAGATGGTAATAGAATACATGCTTTTGGTTAAATCTTGCATTGTAACCTAAGGCTATCAGTTACTTGTCAGATGAGTCTTGGCTTGTGTGGAAGTATCAGCTCTGCCTGTTACTAACGCGTTTCCACTTTAGGGTATGGCTTCAGGTTAGATTGGCAAGTTAATTGACAGCAGTATGGTGGAGGAAGGGCTTTACAGATGTTTTGTTGCTTCCTTCTGTCATTCCAATAGGGAATTAAAATCTTTTTCTTTTTGTAAGTGTCAGGATAGTCTTTATTCTGACAGACCCTGGGAAAGAACAGAACTTTAATTACTCTAGCCATAGTGGCTGTTTTGTCATTGTGAATAATATGTTGCCACTTTAAAAAATATGTGTATAAAACACAATACCCAATTGTATCTTAAAACACAATATCCAATACACGTGTGTGTGTGTGTGTGTGTGTGTGTGTGTGTGTGTATATCAGCCTTAGGTACAAAAGCAGATGAGGAAACTGCAGCTGTCATTCTTGTGCAGTTTTTGGTAAGGGGTGATTACATTTGAAGAACTGTATCTGAGCCCATTTGTACAGGAGAAGCTGATAGACTTCACCTTCGCTTTTAAAAGTTACAGGAAAGCTTGTAATGTGGATATACAGGCTATAGCATCCCTTAGGGTTGAGATATACAAGGGATGAGTAGATACAAAGGTTGGCCTTGGGCTTAAAACATCATCAATCTGATGTGTTAGGATGCTGTTTACTTTTGGTTTATGCTATAAAAGTAAGTCTGCTGTTGCATTGCTGGAAGCTTTAACAGCCTGGCTTTTCCTGCTTTTCAGATACAGCAGCAACAGCAGCAGCAGCAACTCCAGAGGATTGCTCAAATGCAGCAGCTGCAGGCAGCACAGGTCATGCAGGCACAACAGCAGCAGCAACAGCAGCAGCAGCAACAGCAGCAGCAAATACCACAACAACAGATACAGCAGCAGCCACCTCAACAAGTCATGCAACAGCAGATGCAACAGATGCAGCAGCAACAACAGCAGCAACAGCAGCAGCAGCAACAACAACAACAGGTTGCTCAGGCACAACAGTCTCAACTTCCACCACAATCCCAGCCTCAACCCCAGCCCATGGTATCTCAACCTCAGGCAATCTCAGGACAAATTCCTGGTCAGGTTATGCCTGTTACTCTCACACCACAGCAGTTAAAAGCTATGCAGGTAAGGGCTAGGGCCCAGCTGATTGTTGATTTGTTATGACCATCTAGAGAAATAAAAAATACTTTTGCTAGTAATGAAGTAGGAAAACCATAACTTGTTAAGAGTTCTGCAGTCAGCAAGTTATGAGTACAGGGTGTTTAAACATTTATATCTGGGCCTGCCAGTAGAGAACAGTTTTGTACTTATGAGTAGGAGTTCTGGAATCTGTGAAAACCATTCATACAGCTAATATTTAAAAAATATTTTATTGTCTCTTCAAAAATAATTTGACTGGACAAGCAAAAAAAAGAAAAAGAAACATACTCTGGTGAAATTACCTCCATGCTGTTTGCTTTTCTAGAACAGAAGTACTTTGAAGTGTTCTAGACTGCAGCCAGTGTTAGCTCTCTACCATGGCTGGCTTGGCTTCTGCTGCCATGTTGGGAGGTTTTGGTCACATTGGTTAATATGTTGGTTGTTCATGCCTTGAAGAGAAGGCAAGACAATAGTTTTACACTGTTAAATGTCCTGCTGGGTCATCCTCTTAATGGTGCAGCTTTTTCAAGTGTTACAGTCATTTTTATCTGGGCTGCATAGGTTTCTGTTGAGCCAAAGCTCAGACCTGCTTTTCTTCAGGCCTTGCTGGGGAGGAGTGTCAGCCACACTTCAGAAATGGATGAGTTGATACTTCCACTTTGTGCTCCTGCCAGCTAAGCTAGGAGTAGTTAAATGTCATGATTGTCACATTGACAGATGTAATTAATGTATTAACATTTGCAATGCTGGTCATTGGTAGGCTTGCAAAACATTAAAGTGTTTGTTATTTTTATATAAGACCTGATAGTACAGGTAAGAAGTTGCAAGAAATTGTTGAATTATGTGTGCAGTCTGTGGGAAAACTATTCTAAATATTTTAAACATGAGAAGTTACTTTCACAAAAAAACTCAAAAACTTTATTTTGTGAGGCTGGTCTTGTCTCCATACCCCTTTTAATGAACATAGTGCAGTAGAAACAGAAGTGTCATACCCCACTCAGGTATGTTTACCTTGGGTTTTGTTCTCGTACTCTAGGTAAGAGCTCAGCTGGTCCAGCAGCAGCAGCAGGCAGCAGCAGCAGTGCAAGCAGCTCAGGCCCAGGCTGCTCAGATGGGAGCTTCAGGGCAGGTAAGGGCCCAGGGCCCGGTGTCACAGGTCACAGCAAGTGCATGCTAGAGATGAGCATGGAGTTGGGATTCTGGTGGTTTCTGGTCAGGGGTCTGGCATCGGTCTGGCCCCTCTATAAAGGGGATGTGGTCTTCTCTGCTGTTCCTCCTTTTCCTGGAGTCAGAGGCAGGATTTCATTGCCAAGCTCTCTGTGCATGCTCTGTCCCAAGTAGGTCCGAGTGTTGCCTGTACTGACACAGGAATGCACATGAGTAAGACGGTCTCCTGTGGGCACACTACAAGTCTGACTGTTGGTACCTGGAGTGTATCACCTCTTCTTTCATTAAACTCTCTTAGGTGACTGCTTTGTTGTGTAAACTGATTTCTGTACTGTGAATCTTTGCCTGCTATCTTTAATCACATGTGATTTACCTTCCATCTTCATGTATCGACTATAAAAAAAATAGTATAGATGGTGAAATCTCTCTGCACTCCCCTTTCAGTCCTTTCATCTTTCATTCTTCTTCTGAGTGAAATGGGCAGTAGATCTAGATGCTCTTGTTCTGGATGTGAATTGTGAAGAACAAATGGCGTGTGTCACAAGTGCAGAGTTACATTAAAAAAAGTAAAGTGCTGGGTGAAAGCTTGTTATCTAACATGGTTTCTTTATCCTACAATACACCTGCAGCCCCAGTGGTTGTTTCTTGATGTGTGCCTGGTATGAAGGAGACTTGGGGAAAAAAATGGGGAATGGCTTGAGCTGAACTTCTTATCCCATTTTCCACAAGAATATGAGAGTCTTTTGTGGCTTACCTCTGTAGTGTTTCATATTGAGGCATTTTACAGACATGGGTAAGTACAAATATCACCATGCTGTAGATGAAGACAGAGACAGACAGATGAAATGAGGCTGACTAGGACTAATGGTAGAATTCTTTTTGTATACCCAGGCATTCCATGTTTTTCAAGCACCATTTTCCATTCAGTGCACGAGTAATTTTACAGATTCAGTAAGAAGCTTTTTATATGGACTGTGATAACAATTGCTTCTTCAATGTACATCTCCCAGACTTGTCTCAGGGATAGTCTCTTGTGCCATGGTAACTCTGACGTGGCCACATTCTTGTTGGTGTGGCCAAGTTCTGTTTCTGAATTGCTCCTTTGGCTTGTGTCAGTGTAACACAGGATGTAAAAGCTGAGCAGCGGTAAGTACAGTTGGGACAGTACTGGCAGCAATGCACAATTCTCTTCCTACAGTTGGAATGTGAATTAAAACTTGTTTGTTTCTTAAATAATTTCCAGGTGGGAGCTGCAGGGACTTAGGCTGACTGGAAGGAGACACTGACTTTTTTTCTTGTTACTGACTTTAATGGTGCTCTTTCCAACTCTGAAGCAGATGGATTGTGTTTACTTAGAGTCAACTTAATTCTTGCCCTTTTAGTGACTTCATGTGCCAGTGGCTTAACAGCACAGTGCATTTGAAAAGCTTTGGGTGATAACATGGTTGACAGCCAGTTTTGTATTGCAGCTTTATCCAGTCTTGTGTAGTAAACTTGGGGATTGCTCTTTATCTACCACATACAGAGTTTGGAATATTCCACATACGAGCTTTACTCCACTTGTGTTCATGCCACTGCAAGATGAGTCTACTAAAATTCACCTACCACTATGAGGTCCAATAATGAAATGGGTTTCTCATACTTGTCTAAATATTTTCTGTATGTAATAGCTTTAAGATTGTGGCTGTATATAATATTACAATGCAGCATCAGTGTTGAGAGTGCATAAGATTTGCTTTAGAAAAAGTCTCTTTTAAGACTAGATTTTTGCTTTCTATTTAGTACATTTTTCAGTAGCATCAGCATTTTTAATAAATCTGCCTTGATTTCTTTGTTTGGTTCAGAGAAGCTTTTTCAATAAACAAACCCTCTCCTAATCTTTGCTTGTTACATTTAAATTTAGTCTTTAAGGGCTTTCAAACTGGGAATTTTGCTTGCTATATCTGCATTTTTCCTTTTCCATAAAGTTTCTGTAAATCCTTCCTACATAAAAGTAAAAGCAGTCCCAGGTTCAAACATGATTCCTGTGAGAAGTTCTTCTCTGAAGTTTTAAAGGCACCACACAGATCAATGTTTCCCTGCTCTAGTCTTTGTGAGGAGGTAACTCACAGGGAAGCTCATAGCAGCAGTGTCCTAGCAACAGAGATCTACACAAGATGCTTGCAGCACCAAGGAAAAAGACCTGTAATCAACTGCAGTTAAGTATTAGTAAAGTAAAGTCACTGTTCTGGTGCAATCCCTTCAGGTGCTCAGAATGCAGAATGGCTGATGCTGAGTAAAAACCTGAGTACGTACATGTGCTCACCAGAAGCTGCATATTTATGGAATGCTGAATGTTTGGATGTTAGATAAAAGAAAGTTACAGGTTCTGGATTCTGTTTGTTCTATTACACTTCATTTTTATCAAATAATGGGGTTTGTAGCTTACTGTGGATGGAGATCCTGTTCTTGCTCTCTGATTTATCTCAATTTACAGGGTCTGGGATTTTACCTCATAAGAATCAATTTCACTTGTGGAGGAAGATATGTGTTCAGTTAAAATCTTTTTCAGAAGTACTTAAACATTTCTGATTGTGTTCTTATTTTATGAAAAGAGTAACTCCTTTATCTACATATTGCTTTGGAACCTCCTTTCCTGACTCCTTTGTCAAAGGGTCACAGATTTTGTAAATATAAATGTGGTTCCTTTCCAAAGCACACATTTCAAAAAATACAAAAAACCCTAACCCAAAATTGTATGCTTGTGTACTCATTTGACCAACCACAATACTACAAACAGCTGAAAGCCTTTGAATTGGAGTTTGTCATGCTGGTGTCCATTGGTTTGCCAGACACTTAACCTGTGAATATTCTTCCAATTTCCTGTGTCTCAGTGGAAGTAATCTAAATCCTCACACTTTGGTGGTGTGGCTTCAGAAACATGGCCAAGATGGGACATGTGGGTCACCATAACATTCCTGGGATTCCCCACGCTCTAGAGATCTGTGTGCATTCACGAGGGTCTAAGATGGGGTGATTGTGCCTGAAAGGATTTATTTCCCCCCTCCCACCCCTAGCAATTTCCCCCCTTTTTTTTTTTTGGTTTTGTTAGGGTTATGTTGCTTCACCAGCTCTCATGTTGATACTGTAGCTCTTCACTGCACTTCGTAGCATCCACCTGTGCTTTGTGGCAGTGCTGGGTTGTTGTGTTTGCTCGTGGCAGCTGCTGCATGCTGTGTGTGCATGTGTGTGTGATGTCTGAGACGCTCTCATTTGTTCCCCTTTTGAAATCCTGTCTCTGACCATCCCTCTTTACCTGGATGGAAAGGGACTGCATTGCTCTGATGTTGTGAACTAACAGCTGTGCTGAATTTGACACTATTTTCTTTATCAGTTATTGCTTTCCTTTTTCAGTCTTGCTATGTTGTATTTAATTTTATTTAATTTTAACAATTGTAAGCACATGCATTCTTTGACTCTCTAGAGATGTGTTGCTGGCTGCTTCAGTCCATTTACATAAACACCAAGCAGGAGTGCCCCAAACCATTTACAGGAAGGAGACTACATTATCTCTTAGGTTAGTTAGGATTGTGTAGGTTCCTTGGTAACATGTAAACTAGGAAAAAAAGGTAGCCCAGAGAACTTTAATGTAGATCTTTGAAGTGTCCCAGACAAGCTCTTTTACTGATAAGTGAATCTGTCAAAGATACCTGAATACTACCTCAAATACATGCTGTATTTGTTGTAAATTCTCAGTATGTGATGTAATATTAGATTTTAAGTAGCAAGTAAGAGGTACTATGCTTAAGTAAGCATAGTAAGAGGGCTATACAGATATAAAAAATTAAATCTGAGTGGCTGAAGAGGGCTATACAGATATAAAAAATTAAATCTGAGTGGCTGATGCAGGCTGATGGTTCTGAAAGGTATTTTCAGACACTGCAAAGCAGCGTAGTCCTAATACTATTTTAAAATAAAAATTGATTCTAATGCTAACCTTTATAATTTACCCTAAATGATTGTACTTTAGGGTGTGCTCACTCTATACAGCTGGAGAATCAAAAAGCTTGAAAAGGCTTGAGGAAGATCATGGACTCAGAATAATTTAGCACACCTTAGTTAGTCATAGAGGAATAGGAATAGATATTTGTCAAAATCATAGTAATTAAAAAGGTGTATTTGACTTATTGTGTGGGTTACAAAAGGAAAGAAATAGACTTTTCAAACCTGGAAGTCCTTTTTGCTGTCTTTGGCATTGTTATACTGGCATAGGTTATGCTGGTGTGAAATTTGCTCACTGTGGAGCATTGTGCTGCCAGCTGCTGCTGAGCTGACAGAATGTTCTGGAACAGAGGGGGCATCAGCCAGTGCTGCTAAAGCCTTGGGTCCACAGTGGGGGAAAGCACATCAGAAACCTATGGCATCATAGAGCTTCTTACATGGAGCGTTCCTGGCAGCAATCTTTGAGTACTTATCTCCAAGAATTTTAGAATTTCAAGATGTCAGGAAAATTTTAGGAAAGGCCCTTCATGGAAATGACAGGATAGTCAACCCTAGATCCACGAGTCTGAGTCTGCATGTCAGATTCCAGGAATTCATTAGGTGCTCTCTGAAAAAGGATAGAAGGAGTGTAGAAAGGAGTTTGATTTCCAAGCCAGCACGTTAGGTTAACCCTTAGAGAAAAGCTCACTAACCTTCCCTTCATGCTCCCCCTCCCCAGTTCCTGGAGGCTGCATGTGCTTCTCATCCTGCCAGTGCACTGCATTTCTTGTTTTGCGATTACTTTTGTCTGTTGTCCCTCTGTCCTCAAAGATGATCACCGCACCTATGGCCCGAGGTGGGATGCAAATCAGACCACGGTTCCCGCCTACCACCGCGGTGTCTGCTACACCACCAAGCTCCATCCCCTTGGGCGGACAGCAAATGCCACAGGTATTTACTGGGTCACAGCACATTGTGTCAGCAGTTGTGCAGAGCTTCACTGCCTGGGTCTCTAGTGCTGCCCTTCAAGAGAGGGGACGTCACTCTTGCATCAAACAATGAACTTGCTGGTGTTTCTCAGGGTGTTGGTCTGTTCAGGTTGTGTGTTTTATGGATCCTTCTTCATTTTAAGTAATAGGTTGTTTTTTTTTAGAGCTTGGGGTACCAAATAAAGCATTTTTAAAGTGGGATAGATCTTTATTTTAACATTTAAAACTTTTCTGTGTTCAGAATTGATTCAAGTCTCAAATGAAGGTTCCACACTCCATGAATGTGCATTTCTGAGTGTTGCAAGTCAGCACTGGAGTACCTGGCTGAGTTGTGTCCAGGACCTTGCTTGGTGTACATTCATGCTCAGTACAGGTGCTTCATGTGTTATTAGTAAACTTGGCTCATTTCAGTGTAAGCAACTTCTTGGCATCATATCAGGGACCCAGCAAAATTTGAGCTGTTTTTTTCTTTCATGTTTGTGTAAGAGGAACTGCCAGAAGGATTCCAGTTGTACCTGCATCAGAGGTGAGCCTGTGTAGGGAGGCTGGCAGCTCCTGTCCAGCTGCTGCTGGGAAATGCATGAGGTCAGAGCACTTCATTTGTTCTCAGGAGTTTGCAAAGGCAGTGACAGAAAGATTCTGCAGTCTTAGGCAAACACATCTGTTGTCATTTCTGGTTGAAGATGGATGTTCATTTCAATCCAGGACAGGGTGTATCTATTAACTGACACAAACTCCAGCCATAGCTGTGGAGTCAGAGGGAATTTACTTTGTGCTTTGGTCACTGTAGCAGTTAATAAATACAGCCTGAGATAATCATTGCCCATTTGAAATATCCACAATATCTGAGGCTTTCCCATGGATATTGAAATGTTAGTTTTGCTTCAATTTAATATTTGACTCATAGCAGAAGAGAGTAGGAAGCATTCAGTGCCATAGGGTGATCTTTCATCACTGTCATGGTAACTGAGGAGCTTTGGTTTCTGACACCAAGTGAATGCTCGTCAGGAGGAGTTCTCAGTAGCATGCCAAGGATTGTGAAAGTGATGTAGAAGGCTGAATAACTGGTCAAAGCAAAAGAAGAAGAGAAATTTTTCATGAGCAGTGATTGTAATGAAAATGTCTCCAGAGCAGGTGTTAGGATGAGTGAGTCAGTCATGGTTACTGGTGGCTGAAAATGTGTTTTGAAGGCAGCCTGACCTGCCATACTTGACAGCTCTGGACCAGCATTAATCTCCAGTATTGTCTGCCAAAACATTTTATTCAGGTTCTAGGTAGATTAGAAATCAGAAATGTTGTCTTAATCTTATAAAATACTAAACTTCTATTGTCTGTTGGGTATAACTTCCTTGTCAGCAGAGCCCTTGGAGCTGTTCACAACAGGAGTAAAGGGCTGTAGCAGATATGTGGTTATTAATCACTCATTTAAGAGCATGACTGTAGTATCAAAATCCATTTAGATGTGGTGATATGTAGTTCAGGGTGTATTTTCTCTTTAGAAAAGAATCTTGGTATTGCACTGAAGAATGCTTTTCAACAGAAGGACCAGATGTGATACTGATACCTTGTGGCTATTTATTTTTATCCCATATGACAAAACAGTCTGGCCTTTTTTATCATAAGACTCATTTGATTCTGCAGTGAGTTTATTTGTTTGGTTGGGGTTTTTTGCTTATTATAGTCTTTTCAAACAAAACAAAAAATATTGATATGTTTTATTTCTCAGTCACCTGGTGTTTTGATTTGCAGCTGGGAGCCCTTTCCAGCCTTATCTCCTGAGTGCTGTTCTGTGCCTGAGACTCAACAAACTGCAGATAGAACTCATAGCTGGGTTTATTTTCCAGGACAGTGTGCCCTAAACAGTAAGAATAGCTTTGATTTAGTGGATGTAAATGCAAACTTTTATCATGCAGGCCTGAATAGCTTTTGGGCAAGACTTCAGAAAATTAGAGTATGGTGTCATGATCAGGTCACTGGAGAGTCACAGAGCAAATTCATGCTCAGTGGGCTGTTGTAGCTGTCCATGGACGTCCTTTTATGTGCAGAAATTCATATCCCTTAGTAAAAAAATATGTAGTTGGATTTCTTTGTATCTGTTGTAGATGCAGGGTATACAGAAGATCAGAAACCATCACTTAGCTCTGGAATTGAATTAATTCAATGGAGTTAAAGCTCCAGAAAGGAGGGTTTTTTTGTATTTTGGGTTCATTGCTATTTTTGTGGCTTTTTAAGCCTTCTTTTTACTCAGAGTCAACTGCAAAGAGCATTCCCTAGAAGTTGAAATTTCATTAAATTGTTACCATCTTAATCCGTATCCTGCAAACAGTGTAGAAACCTAAACCTGAAATCATCTTTAAATCTGTTCTATAGAAAGATATGTGAAATTATGTAGCAAAGGAACTGCTGTCAAAGAAAACCAAGGCAGGAAGTTCAGAACTGCACACTTCTGAATGCATGTTTTTGAAAATGTCACAATTTTGCTTACTATTAGACATATGGCCTTTGCTGTTCTGAAATGAAGCTGGCAGAGAGCAGACCTGGAAAGGAAGAAATCTGTTTGTCTGTGCAAATATTTGAGGAGGGGTAGTGCAAAAAATTCAGTTCATCCAGTGCTTATGTGCACACTAAATGCTGCATATCCTTTTCTTCACTTTTCTGCAGCATTTGTAAATTAACGTAAACAATGTCCTTGGTGCTGAATTATACACTTAAAAACTTAAATCTGCTAGAAAACCTAATGAAATCTTTCTCCTTCCCTCCTTCCCAAAGCACAAGGATTGAAGTGTTCAGAAGTACTTTTTTGTAACCAACTTGAGGCACTTAACAGGGGCCTGATTTTCAGGAAGTGATGAACCACTCCAAGTGGTCTTAGTCTGACTTGATGAAAAATGGGTGCAGTATCCATATGGGTGAGTTCTAAATCACTTGCTGTCTAATAACACATTAAATAGACTTGTGAAGTATCAGGGAATGCTTTTTGCAGTGTCCATCCTACCTTCCTTCCAAACATGGTGAACTGCCTGGTGTCTGCAGAAGGCAAACTGTGCTTTTCCATCTCAGAAATGCTTTTCCAGCTGTTGAGGAGAGACATGCTGTTAAAGAATCCACCTCCTTTGGAAAACAGTAAGCACAGAGTCTTTAGTTGCTGGTTATGGAGGAAAGGAAGATACTGTATAATTTCAGCCTCACTTGTTCTGTGTGTTACCTTTGTGTCAGAGGTTCCAAAGGTACTGAGGCTACTGAAGATTAAAGAAAAATCATAGTATGTCAGGCTGCATTTGATTTTGAATATTCTGTAATAGATAATAAACTAGTATCTTCAAGCTTAGTAGTTTTGCACTGAGCTGAGGATTGTGCCTTTTTTGGGGGGGTGTGACCTTTTGCATAGCTGCAGTGTGAGGTACCAAGCAAAGCATTTCCTGTTGCAGTCAGTGTGTCCATGCAAAAGTAGACAATGCAATACTTTTCAGTGTGCTAAATATCATGTCCTCTGCATAGTTGGATTATTTAGATGGATATTTAACAAGAAAGTGAAGGGAAACACCAATTTGCAGTGCCTGTGATGTGTCTGGGACTTCTGGGTTTAGTGGAACCTTCACTTAAAAATGGTTTAGACTGAGGGAAAGAGTTGCTAATTCAAAGATGCTAATCAGTGACTTACAGAATGGACACATGGGTTAATAAACCACAATGTATTGCCTCTGCAGGCTAATTCCTCTTGTGTTTGTATGTACTTGTTTATAGCCTCAAGTCATAAGAACTCTGTGCCTTAAACAAATGTGATCACTTACTATCTGCATTACTACCCCATGCCTCTGCCATTGCACAGGTTTTCTTGTTTGATTTTAAGGGATTAAGGGGGAAAATGTGTATTAGAACAAATGTGGGAAGTTGCTCCAATTTTAGTGTCATCTGGCTCTGGCACTGTAGAGTGTACAGAATAAACTTGGTTACTACCCAGAGTTTGGTGCTGTTCTGGAAATGCTCTTACTTGCCTTTTTGTCCTTTAGGCACACCTCATCATTCTCCAAAGGTCAGAAAGCAACTTCATTTTTTTTTTTCACCCAGCTGTTCAATTTGGAGCTTTATCTCCACCCAGATTTTCAGAACTCAGTATTTAAACAAGATGTTGGTGATTTGGCTTACCTAATTTTTTTCTTCCTTCTTCCTAAAGAAAACCAGTTGAGAAGCTGCAGCTGAGTCTGACAGACCTTTGAAGAGTGTAATTAAAATGTCTTAATAAGAAGGGGGTTTTGACTCTTAATTATCAAGTGGGAAATGTCTTTTCTTCCTGATCTTCTTTAGTTCTAATGAAGTACAGGTTTTTCACATGGCACTTCCGACATTTTAATTGCAACATGATGGTTTGGGCAGTGAAAAATAATTATTATACAGTTAATTCAAGTTATTTGCAGTTTAAATGGTCATTTCTACTGAAGTTGATAAGATTTACTGCCCTGAGAGCTTCAGGAGTGATACAGGTGGGGGTGTCCATATGGGGGAGGAAGGAATCTAATGCTTTCATTTCTTGTAGGCCTGAGGATATACTTCTCTCCACAGGTAAAGCCTTTTAGTTAGGTTCCCACCCTCTGCTCCCTTCTGCTGTTATTGATGGTATCTTTTCCCACATTCCAGGTCAGCCAGAACAATATTACCATGATGTCCTCCCCATCTCCTGTCCAGCAAGCTCAGACTCCTCAGTCGATGCCTCCACCACCACAGCCGCAGCCTTCTCCTCAGCCAGGCCAGCCGACTTCTCAGCCAAACTCAAATGTCAGGTGAGCCACACTGCAGCTCTTCTGCTCATGCCCTAAGCAGGAGGTTTTCAGAAACACTCAGTAATCCTACTCTGTTCTCATTGAAGTGAATGAATTTTAATGCCAACTCCTCTGGGAGCACAGGTGAGACCGTGTTGAACTCACTCCGAAGACTCACATTTTGCATAAAGGATCTGTGTATGAAATCTCCTCAAGGCAGAACTACACACTGCCATAGCGATGCTTACTAAAATCATATCTGCTTACAGGCTGATGATCCCTCCTTGTCAGATTCTGGCAGGTTTAATTTTATGTTTATTTTTCAGCTCTGGCCCTGCTCCATCACCCAGCAGCTTTCTCCCCAGTCCATCTCCACAGCCATCACAGAGCCCAGCAGCTGCACGAACACCTCAGAACTTTAGTGTCCCATCCCCAGGTCCTTTAAACACTCCAGGTAAATGATCTGAGAGCCACACTTCACACCATGGGTCAGGCTGTGTTTTGGTAACTGTAATAGCTCCTGGGAAACCTGCTATTTTTGGTACAGTGTAAACTTGCAAGAGCTCTACATAGCAGCTGGCATTGCAGGTAGTGGCCATGTCACATTCACCACATGACACAACAGCTTGGATTCCCAAATCAAAATCAATTGAAACCTCTTTTCTCATTGCTGAACTATGCAATGGGTTTTTCTAACTTCCCCAGTCTTTGAAAAATGAGTGATACTTAATTTAATGGAGCAAGTTTATAGAGGTAATAATGATTCCTTAGTTCCAACAGGAAGAAACCCTCAGTGACACTGTGCAGCTGTAAAGGACATAAGCACTTTATTCCAGACACCAGGCTTGGCTCCAGAACATCTTCCCAGGTGTACTCTGGCACTTTGCACTTCCCTACCAGACACAATAAGCAGTTTGTGATATTGTGAATGGAGCAATTTAATGGGCTCCTTCTCAAACCATAAAATTGGGTGCTTTGCAGATAGAAAAGGCCTCACTTCACAAAAACTGCTGTGAATTTATGGTATTTATTTAGTGTTTAAAGCATCAGAGTGAAGGCCAAATAAAGACCTAGAAATGGCTATATGGAATTGTGGAACTTTGCAGAAAAAGTGAGAATTGCTGCTCTGCTCATAGAACATGTTATTTCTACACAAAGACTGGCAAGCACTTAAACTGTGGAGGGCATCCAGCTGTGGGTTTGGATATTTGACATGAACTACACTTTGAGTGGCACATTTCAGATCAAGATTGTGAAATGTGAGAATAATGTTCTGCAGTATCTTTTATCACCTCTGACATGCAGTCTTCCTGTTTGCCAGGAAATCCAAATTCTGTCATGAGCCCAGCCAGTTCTGGTCAGTCAGAGGAGCAGCAGTATCTGGAAAAACTCAAACAACTATCAAAATACATCGAGCCACTCCGAAGAATGATCAATAAAATAGATAAAAATGAAGGTGAGGTTTCCTGTATTTGGCCATGCATTTATCTGTGTCAGCTCTTTCACCTACTGAAAGAAGCAATACTTTGTCTTTTGTGGTGACTTCTTTTCCAGGAATTAAAAATGTCAGAGAAAGTTGCTTCTAACTAAAGATTTTAGTGTGAGGAGTGGGCAAAATTCTTATCCTTAAATTCTCATTAGTTTCTTTGGTTTTTTGGGTTTTTTTTAACTTCTGATGGTTTTGAAACATGTAGCATTTATGCTTTGGATATACTTAGGATTAGATGAAAGGTCTTTAATCCTCACTGCTTTCTTTAGTATTGGTTCATATTTCCATTTTTGACAGTGTGCTGTGTTTCTGTCTCCAGGAGCAGAATCTATTCTTGTAGTCAGTGTTTGTGTTTCTCATACTGTTTCAGACAGGAAGAAGGACCTGAGTAAAATGAAGAGTCTCTTGGATATCCTGACTGACCCTTCAAAAAGGTAACTCTTTTGTCAGCTTTCCCAGCTATCCAGAAATCTGTTGCTCAGCACCCAGCCCTGTTGCCATTGAGGCTCTCTGGGGCTCAGCCAGCAGAAACTTCAGCTGAGGTGCCCATTTGGAGGTGATGTGGGTGAAATTTCTCCTCTTTCACAGGTGCCCCCTGAAGACACTGCAGAAATGTGAAATTGCTCTGGAGAAGCTGAAAAATGATATGGCTGTGGTATGTAATGTTTTGTGCCAGCAGAGACCCATCCCAAAAGGTCTTTAAACTTGGCAGGATCATTTTTGCAGTTTTTGTTATTCACACTGTTAAAACTTCAAGTAAGGCTGGACAAAGAAAACAGGAAAAGCTGGGCAGGCATTTACTTCATGTCACCTGTATGTATCTTTTAACTGAACTTTCAATTTCTTGTGCTTTGTGCCAAGACTTGAATAATTCTTTCTTTGGACTGTGGCTGATTTAAGGACAGCCTTCCTAAACCATAACTGCATTGGTTTTGATATATTTTTTTTTCTGCTTTACTTACTCCCTTAATGTTATTACATACAGTTTTTTTCTGCTTTACTTACTCCCTTAATGTTATTACATACAGTTTTGAGAATAATTTGCATTTCATGCATTGAAAGTTCACAGCTATAAAATTTTTCAGAATCAGCAGTAGATATTTCCGGTTTGATGACGATTAAAGGAAAAGGGGGATTCTGTTGTGTTTCAGCCTACTCCACCACCTCCCCCAGTGCCCCCCACCAAGCAGCAGTACTTGTGCCAGCCCCTTTTGGATGCTGTTCTGGCCAACATCCGCTCCCCAGTCTTCAACCATTCCCTGTACCGGACGTTCATGCCGGCGATGACCGCGATTCACGGGCAGCCCATCACGTACGTACCGGGGGCTGTGTCTGTCCTGAGGGCTCAGCATTGGAGGAAAAAATGTCTCTGTAGAAATTGTTAAAAAAAATAGATGCTTTTATGGGTGGGGGTGACTTACAGCTTTTTGTTTTTCACGTGTGAAATATGTGACAAGTCCAGGGTTAGCTCGTTTTCACCTGGTCCTCTTGTGGAACGTGTCCGACACAGGGCCCCCATCGCTTCCCCTCGAAAGCGGAAATATGAAGAGGATGAAAGACAGACCATACCAAATGTCTTACAAGGAGAAGTTGCAAGATTAAATCCTAAATTCCTGGTGAACCTGGACCCTTCACACTGCAGTAATAATGGCACAGTTCATCTCATATGCAAGCTAGGTAAGAAGAAACGGGGAGATGTGCAGTCTGGTTCCTCCTTGGGGTTCACAGGCTAGAAATCAAGCTCAGTTATACACAAAAAGCCTCCTGTCTGGCAAGAAATGCTCTGATTGAAGTGTGCTTGCCTTCTAGATGACAAGAATCTTCCAAATGTCCCTCCACTCCAGCTCAGTGTTCCAGCAGACTATCCAGATCAGAGCCCTCTGTGGATAAAGAACCCCAGACAGTATGGTATGAAGATGGCATTTGTTGGGTGTGTGTGTGTATGTGGCAGTAGTGGGGAAATGTGAACACCTAATGTTGCTCTTTTAATGTTTTTAATACGATTTTTATGACAATTGCCTTTATCTGTTCTCTTTTTCTCTCCAGCAGCCAATCCCTTTTTGCAGTCAGTGTATCGATACATGACTTCAAAACTATTGCAGCTCCCAGACAAGCATTCGGTCACAGCTCTGCTGAACACCTGGGCACAAAGCATTCGGCAGGCCTGTCTCTCTGCTGCGTAACAGCTCACCTCCTAAATCATGAAGCAACAACAGCTGGCCTCTTCCACATACCACTGGAAAACCACACTATGGGGAGGTTTACTTCAGAAGAAAGAAGCCTTATGGTGTTTTGTTTCTAGGTTGTCAGGTTCAGTAGAGAACCTGATGTTAGACTTAGTTTTTCATGCTTTCTATCTTCTGCCTCTGTGGACTTTTGCCAGCATTTTCAGATATACAAAATGTGTATATATGGTTCTCAAGACTGTATTTAGGGTGAGTTTTTATTGTCTTCTTAGAGAAGAAATTATTTGTGGACTTCCATCAGGGAGTCTGGTATAAGAGGGGGTAGGGAAAAATGTCCTAATTTGCTTCAAAATTTGCTCAGTGCCAGTATTTCTTTCACATTTTGTTTTGTGACCTGATACTGCCCCAGAAATAAATGAGGTGTAGCACAAATGTGCTTGCAAACTTCCCAGAGGGTGCAGGAAATCTTTCTGACTACTAGTTTTGCCCAGAGATGGGATAAATTACATCCTTTTAAGGCATCCCTCAAATATATGACATAAATCTGGATAATTATACCTGGGGGGTGGGAAAGTGGAATCAAAGAGAGCAAAAAAAGGTATTTTATAGCTTATTTTAAATGCAACTTTGTATAAATGGTTTTTGGTTAGCATGGACCACATTTCTCACTCCAGAAGAGTAAGACTGATGAGAAAGAAGAGATACTAATGTGCACATTGACTTCCTCTATAAATTCAGTAAATTGTAGGTAAAGATGGGGGGGAAACCAACAGCATAAAGGCCAAATGACAGAAATCAATCCAGTGGGTTTGTAGCTGCATTTCTTCTTTTAAGAGTCTTTCTGAGGCATCTGGCTTCCAGTGGGAGTTAATGCAGTGCACTGAAAATGTTTCTATACTACATCACTTTGTTTAAACAAAAAAGGCAAAAAAATATCTCAGGAGTAGAACTGACAACTCATCCATTGTGCCTTGAACAGTGATGGGCACTCAAGTCAGTCAGCAGCTGCCTTACTGTTGGCACTTTGAATGAAAACATTTGCCACAAGTAACTCTAATGCGTTTTTCGTGTTTCCCTACGTGTCTAAATTGCTCCTTCTTAAGTTCCTGGTGCAGGAGAATTTCAAACAGTAGATGTTATTTCTATCCTTCCCCATCTCTGTATTATGCAGCAAAACAAAAGAGTAGCTGGGCTCTCTTACAGTAGTGTCAAGAGACTGCTATGACTTCTGTAAATCCATGTGGTGTCATCAGTTTTAAGGATGTTCTTAAATGTGGGTACTTAGTAAGCACTGACTGAGGCAGCAGAGTGCTGTCAGTATTTTGTACATGAGCTACTGCATTATCTGTTTGTTTCTACTGTAATAAATTTATTATTATTCCTGTGTTGGATGCTAACATTGTACTGCTCTTCCCCTGTTAGGATACCATGGGATGAGGGTTACTGTGGTGTGTGGTAAGTGAAAACCCACAGGCTTTGAAGGGTAGGGGACAAACCCATAAATGGTTCTGTAGCTCCTGCACCACATCCTTCCTGTCCTTAGTGAGCTGGAGAACTGGTTAGTGATGGGATCTACCTGTGGGATGACTGCAGTTTTATAAATATTCATGGCTCATTCTTCCCCCCTCAAAAAAACAAAACAAACACCATATTCACTAGAGTTTACAGGAACACTTTTATAAAAATAAAATTTACATTGATTATCATCTCTACAAGGCCACATCAATGTTTATAAAACTCCATTAAGTTTAGTATTAAAAAATATCTTAGGAAGATCTGATATAATTAAAACATTTTAGTCATAATCCCAGGCTCATCCTTAAAGCATTTATTTTTACAAGCCAAGAAGAGGAAACTAGTGTTCATGTGGTTTCCATCCTTCAAAGAAAAAAGTCATTATTACAGCATAAAGAAAATACCCAGTTAGGATAATGAATGTGCAGCCAACTGGCCCAACATAAAACCAGGATGCAAGGAAGTAGATCATCAGCAAAGAAATCAGAGTCCTGTAGCTGGCCAGAAACCTCAGACTGATCCTGGGTCCCCAGTTCTGGCTCGTTCTGTCCCTCACCACAGGGCTGTACCTGATTTTCTGTACGAGCTGGGGGTTGGTCAGATGATAGCGACACAGTCTGCCAACAAAATCGTCCCTGGAGCAAAGCACTTCCATCTGATCAGCAAACTGAGGGAAGATGCATTTAAAAATTAGTGTCCTCTTGCAAATGCTGTCATAGAGTAGTTTATTTTATTTTCTTCATTTAGGGAATGAGGATTATAGGAAATGGGGGGATTAAACTGCACTTTTATACAGCAGAACTCTTAGTGTTGACTTGCCTTGTGTTTTCACACTTAAGAAAATAATTTGCTTTTCCTGTTTAGAAGCATTCATTCTGAATGTCACCCCACTGTTCATCAACCATGAGTCCCTTAATAAATCACATTTGCAATGTTTTGTGTAGGAAAATCAGAATTACAGGTAGAGAAACAGGCCTCATTCCACTAGGAAATACCATCTGGACTGCAATAAAGATGGAATAAGAACAAATGAAGTGTCATCCATGTACAGGGGGAGTAAAGAACAGAAGTGTGCAGTGGAAAAGTGGAGGAGGCAGTGCTGTGCTTACCCTTTCGTTGAGCACCGAGGACAGGCGGAACAGCAGCCGGACCAGAGCGGCGTTTTCGTAGCTGCGGATGGGCTGGAGCTCGGTATCCCCCTGATACTGCAGCTCAAACCTCCGTAAGCCATTTATGATCTAGACATGGGAAAACAAACACCTCACCTTGCAGCTCCCATCTGAAACACCTCTTTACTGGCACCCCTCTTAGCTGCGTTTCTCTTCGTCATAGAAGGAGAACTTGTTTATTCAAGAACAGCCTAGGCAGTGATATGGAATTGTTTTTGCTCTCACCTGGTACCTGCCAAGAGGTGTAAGAATGAGGCCATTCTCACTTGCAATGCAGTCTGGAAGTTGTTTTTTTCCATTCTCATCTTGAGCTGTCCCACACTTCATCATCATCTGGGTCAGCTGGGCTTCACTCAGCTACACAAGAATAACACAGTTCCAAAGCAGGTGTTTGATCTGTCCCCATTTAATTTATTTCTCACTTAACAAACTCATTAGCACTGGAAGCCCTTAACAGCCAGCAAAAATACCAAGAACTGCTTAACAGCACCTCAGTTAGACATTAAAATGAGATAAACCTCTCCAGATTTGTCTGTGCTTGTCCAGTTCTAGAGGAGTGCTCTGGTTTATATCTCCCTTAGCTCCCAAGCAGTATCAAAGAGCTGTCTCCTAGGGCAATTCTGTACAAGGGAGTTTGGCTGCAGAGAAACTTATCTGTTATTTTTAAGTTTAACAGTTCATCCTTAGCTGCAAGTTGTATTTTTACAGCTCTACATTAAGAAGATGCTGGAGAAATCTTAAAATTGCCTGTTTGGAAACATGAGGACAGGCTTGGTATAAACAAGTTTGGTATAAATGATAGTCCAAAAGAGTGGTCACTTAAAGTAGGTTTGATACTTAGAAATTCCTAACACCTAATTCCATCTGTATTGAAAATGGGTTTTGAAGCAGGTAAAGTTGAGATGTTAGAATTTACTAGCAATGTCTCTGGACAGCTCTGTGACCCCACAAGGGACACAGACATACATTGATGAATCCTGACTCTTGTTCTCAGTGCACAAGTTCTTAGAAAGATGTTACTTACCTTAAAGATCTGGCACAAATATTCCAGTGCCTTCTCCAAATATTCATCTGTTTTTTTGATGCTGTCCTGCCCAATTTCATCAAGGTCATTGCCTGTGTAGGAACCATTCACTTCAGATGGTGTGAATCTAAACCACGAGAAGAAGGACTGGTTGGCCATTGTCTCTGCAGAATGGTCTGATATGGACTTTGCTGTCTGCTGTGCCTGACAAATTAACTGAGCCAGTTTTAACACCTAAAACAAAAAAAATAGAAAGTGTGTGGGACAAAGATAAAGGACTACTAAGCATCAATACATGGATAAAATTCTGCCTTGACAGCTGGAAGTGAGAGCAATCCCAGCAAACTCATTCTCTTAATGCATATGGATTTGTGCTGTGAGCTGGATTTCCAATAGGGCAGAGGCAGTTCTCTTGAAGCTTTTAAGAAATCTCAGTGCTGCTTAGGTTCTTCAGCTGCCTTTTTTCTTTTTCCTGCTGCTTTTGTCTGGACTTGCTGGTAGGTACTGATTAATCAGAAGATCACAGTAATCATGTTTGAGAGGAAATATCATACACTGCTCCAAGGCAGCAAGCTGTTACATTAACTTATTATTTATCAAAGAGAAGCAGATTTTTACAGCTGTGCTGAACTGAGACCCCTCAGGGTCCAGAAGTCACTCAGCAAACTAAATTATTCAGTAATGCAGGGTGTGAAGTTTTCCACTGTTAACTTCTCCTGATATGAGATATGCTGATTCTCAGCACTGAGAATACATCTGTCACAGTAGAAAGGCAGGTGACAAGGAGCTTGTTGCTTACCAAATTCCTGACTTCTGTGCCAAACATCTGTTTGTACTGGAAGTCCTGTCCTTCCAGGCTGTAAACATGACTCTTCACCTTAAATGAGGCATCTGTAACAGCTGGAGACCGTGATGACAAAAAACTCCCACCAAGAGTGGGGCTCATAAAAAGTCGGTGTTGACGGTGGGGAATGACAAGTTCTGGCTCCAGGAATAACTGTTCTCCTGGAATTTGAAAAAAGCAGTGGAGATGGTTACATAATACTGGTCTTGCTGGGGAAGGTCCAGCTGCCTTAAGGCTGCTTTTTTTATTTAGAGAGTGAGTTCTGAGGGGAAGGAGGCCTTAATCACTGTTCATTATTTACTTCTCTCTGCCCAGAGCAGAAAGTGCCTGTGTGCATTTAATGCAGACCATACAAAGCAACATTTTAATTTTATAACATTTTTTAACAAAAGGCAGTGGAGAAACATACTTCAGACATTAATACCAAATCTCACCACACCCTAATTATCCTGAAACGCACGCATGACTCTTTTACTAAGTATAGAGACTTTCAGAGCTATATAAAGTTTAAATCCTGAAGTATATACTGAAGTAATACAAGTGTGAGAAAAACTGACAATTGGGTTCATTGTTCTTTAAAGGGAAGTTGTGGAATGCAGTCTGTGGTGATTAGAAGAGAACTACAGACTCACTAAAGCAACTGACAAACATTAGTGAAGACAGACTGCTGAATGGCAAAATAGCACAAAGAATGGGAGACAAGTCCATTCACCTCAGAGCTTCTGAGATGAGATATAACTACTGTGAAGAAAGATTGAGACAGGACAACACAAGATGTCAAAATATCCTTTTACCTTTCAGGATCATTTCAGCTAGATTGGGCTGAGCAAAGACCTTAGCTACTCGGAACACCATGAGGGCGTTTTTTGGACTGACCAAGTCTGTTCGAAGAGCTCTGTTCAGAAATCCCACAAACAGCTTGGTATACATGAGCAGGTTTTCTTGAATGAAGGCAGCCCTGTCAAAGTGAGCACAGGATTTGTGAGTACAGCTATTTAAAGAACTGTTGTCTTCTACCAAATAAACTGCTAAGGGAACGTTTTATACTGTCTCTGGAAAGATGGCAAATTTACATGGAGAAAAAAGAATACTCTCAAAACAAGTACTGGTGTTCTAAGAAATCTTTCTCTAGTCTTATATAAGTAATTAATTCAGGCTGGTGCACAGCTCCTGAAATCCTGCTGTTTTAGTCAGGATCTCCTTGAGGTTTGGCTGAGATCAGTCCCAGCTGCTCCCCTCCTCACCATTTCTCCGAGACGCTGCGAGGCAAAGGCTCCGTGCTTTGTGGTGGCTTTTCGGGCGCGTACCTCCAGGGCTGCAAGTAACTCAACCACATCTCAAGAACCTAAGCAAAAGCACACATAAACCCACATGAGTGCCAATAAAGGAAGGTAGGAAGGGTTTTTTGTTATTTTTTTTTTTGTTATATAAAGAATTCCACTAGAAAAGAGAGATGTAAAGGCTGAGAAACAGCTGCTGAATGGCAGTAATAATAACTATTTCTAGTAACTAATAACTAGTTCTGCTGAGTACAGACTTAGGGGGAGAAGCAGGTACATACTGCTCTGAAAGAGGCATCCAGAGGCCAGTGGCCAAAACAGTGCTGCAGAAAGATATAAAGCTTCTCCTGGACAAACCGAGGAATCACAACCCTGCAAAAAGTTTCAAAGACATTCACGTGTATAAACCGGCAGCAAATTTTAAAAACAAAACACTCAACCATACCAACCAACAACCCAACACACTTCCACAAATGCAAACAGAGAAAGAATTAAGCAAATTTTTTTTATTTTTTTAACTGAAATTACTTCTAGCCATTGAATTTCAACTCAAA